CTTCTCTATTAAGATCTTCATTGTTGGCCATTCCACACAGTCAAAGGCTTTAAATATATCTAATGCTAGTATACTTGCATTTATGTTTTGCTTCTCAATATAATTGTTAATATTTAATACCCTCCCTACCACATCTGACATTTGTCGACCTGTTATAAACCCACATTGATCATTCCTTATATATTTTCAAAAAACCTTTGAAAAATTAAAAGCTTTTCTTTCATTTTGTTACATCTTTCCCCTTTTTTGTTCTTTATTACTCCAATTAATTTTTTTGCTTTTTTTACTTGTGTGGCTCTGGCCAGCATTTTGGAATTTTTATTGTATTTTCATAAAATTCTCTTTTCAAGTAAATGAGATTTCTTTGAACTTGTTCTATTTCAATATTTTGTATTTCTTTTCTTTTAGCTGTTAATTCTAGCATAATTTTGTTTTCTCTACTTTTTCTCTACTTTTTCTCCAACTCTTTAATGTCTTCTAGTCTCATTATGTGTTGCTCTTTTTGTTTTTTTAAATTATATGAATATTTTATTCCTAGCCCTCTTACCACTGCTTTCATTGTATCCCATATTACACTTGTATTACTACCTTTTTCATTTATTTTCCATATATATTTTAATTTTAAAAATCCTTAAATCTATCCTCCATCTATTTGCCTGTCTATAATCATATTTTATTTCCATTTCCATTGTTATCATTGCATGGTCTGATATTGTAATTACTTTTATATCCGTATTAGCTATCTTGGACAATATTTCTGATGTTACAAATATATAATCTATTCTTGTAAAATTTTTATGTCTATTTGAATAAAACTTTTCGAGTCCCCATTTAATCCTCTCCAAACATCTTTAAATCTGTTTTCATTAATAAATCTACTTAAATCTGTATTCTTATATTTTATATCTAACTTTGATGGGTTAGATTTATCTTTTTCTTTATCCATAACCATATTATAATCAACCACCAGTATCACATATCCTCTTTTTAATTCTTCTATTTCTTTATATACCTTGTCATAGAACTCCCTTTGATTTGTATTAGGTGCAAATATATTACCTAACGTCACCTCTTGTCCATAAATCAGACCGTGTATTATAAGAATTCTCCCCAAATGATCCTTTTTTATAGCTTTTATTTTAAATTCACATGTTTTGGCAGGAATAATTGCAACAACCCTTGCTTTTGAACTACCATATGATTTTTTGTATACGTCTGCCCAGTATAATTTTAGTTCATTTACCCCAACTTTCTTCTGATGTGTTTCTTGAAAAAAATATATCTGCTGTATATAAAGATTTTTCAGTTCTGGCTCATTTATGACTTTTTCCTGAGCCATTTACATTCCAAGACACAATCTTCAGTGTTTTTCCCATTCTTTCAATACATTAAATGTTCTTTTTTGTCTCCATATGTGATAAACACTCCAAGACCATAACAACCACCCAAATCAACTTAACCCTACCCCCACCAAATTCCCCACCACTGCTGTGTATGGAGGGCCCCTTGCCCATCTTCATGAGATTCTCTCCTTCCCACTGCTTTGGGCTTTTTTTTTGGGGGGGGGGGGAGAGGAGACTTCCCTGCATAGACCCCAGACACCCATTCCACCCTCCCCTACCATTTATACCCTTTTATTCTATACTCAACATTCTCTTATATTTCAGTAATAATTTCAACATTAACAAATACAATATATTCTATATCTGTTACATCTTCTTATCTTTTTTATCCTTCTAAGTCTCCTCTTCTTTCAGCCTCTATGGAGAGGATGAACCTCCTGCTGCTATGCCCAACTTCTCCTCCTCCCTATCTCTTCTCTCCTTCTCTGTCTTCCTTCTTGAAAATGTATTATGATTTTCATTGCTTCAAATGTATTAAAATTTTCATTGCTTCAGCTTAGACTTGATGCAGCATTTATGAAGTAAGTATCCAGAAAAACACATGACTTCTGCAGCTTATACTGTTGGAACATGGGTGCTGAAAGTGGCATGCACCCAACTTGCCATCTCATTGTCCTTGAGGAACTGCAGTTTGCTCTCACTTGCACTTAACCTACTCCAGAGTAGCAGCCTTGCTGGAGATGAGAACTGCTTGGGACTTCAAGTTCACACAACAAAGCATGCACACTTGGGAACAAGAGAGGAATATTTCTAGATGAAAGATATGAACGATGAGCAATATTATAAGAAAGAAATCAAGGAAATTGATTCAAGCTTAAAAGCTTCTTACTGAACAAAAGGCTGCTTGGCCATGTAGTTTAAAGCAATTAAGGATATTTTCATGGAGCATGTGACATTAACACTAAAACACAACAACTACAACAACTGTGGCACATGTGCAGAATGCAAAATTCTGGAGGTTACTAGGAGGTTACTCCTTTAACTTTTGCATTTTATGCTACGTATTCCTCATCCAGGATAATTCTGAGCATCTTCAGTAATTCCAGTGCTTCCTCCTTTGTATCCACTCTATAATATTTTCCACTATATGCAAACCTCATAAAAATTGGGAACCCCCAACTATATTTTATGGAATTCTTTTGTAATATTTGGCAGACTTGAGAAGAGAGGTATTACTACCACTCTATATGACTCTGGTGCGCCCACAACTGGAGTATTGTGTTCAGTTCTGGGCCCCTCATTACAGAAAGGATATAGCCAGGTTAGAGTCAGTGAAGTGTAGGGCCACAGGGTTGGTGGCCGGTTTGCAGGGGATGCCGTATGAGGCAAGACTGAGGGAACTGGGTCTCTTCAGCCTGGAGAAGAGGAGATTCAGAGGGGATATGTTGGTGACATACAGGTATGTGAGGGGATGTCACATGGAGATGGGTAGAGACCTGTTCTCCCCTGCAGAGGAAGGCAGGACACGCTCAAATGGAGCAAAGCTCAGGGAGCCAAGGTTCCATTTGGATGCCAGGAAGCACTTCCTGACCATCAGGACCCCGAGGGTGTGGAATGGGCTTCCATGAGAGGTCGTTGAGGCCCCATCGGTGTGGGTGTTCAAAGATAGGCTGGACATGCACACGGTGGACATGTTGTGAGTGGAGTCGGCTGGTGCCGGAGGTCAGACTAGATGGCCTGGGAGACCCCTTCTGACCTGCTCTGTTTTCTATGTTTCTATATCTCTTCTCCATTTCAAACTCTCATTACATAGATCAGGAAATACTTGAATCTGATGACTTTCCAGCATAATTGATATCATATTCCATAACTTTTGCATCAGTTGTTCTTTCCTTTTTTTTTTTTTTGCATATGACCAAAATCTGACCACAATGTCTCTCGGAATTTTAACTCCTGGTCTTCTTGGGCCAACTCTATGTATTGAATCGATATCATATCTTGCAAAAGAGACGTCTGGAAGAACAGATTTGGCCCAATGCAATATTAATTGAATCAATTATCTTCATTCTCTTCCCATCCTCTGGATAGCCTTTAAGGTGTGGAGTCGATCTTCATTGTCTATCTCGAATCTCAATCATGCATTTAGAGACCCGGGGGTTTTTTTTAGCGCTTTATCTTGTTCTTTCACCTGAGCTTTCACTTCTATAATTATTTGGTGATTCTCTTGGTTTTGTTTAGCTAATTCTTTTATTCTTCCATCCATTCTCTATTTTAACATCTAATTTCTTCATCTTTTGCATCATTAACACCTGATATCACCTGTGTCTTCATTTCTCTGATTTCTTGTAAAAGTGTATTGGAACTATCTGATTGTGTTGATGGAGTAGTTGATTTTTCCGGTGATGCTCTCTTTTTCCTGTTTCCATTCATCTCAATTCTTTTCATTCACAAATCTGATGGATGAGGTTTGTTAATAGGATCTTGTTTCACCCTGGGTTTTTGCCAGACAGTCTTCAGTTCTCGAGACTGAGATCCCACATGTTCTGCACTTTTACTGTGCTTGGACAGTCTACAACTATTATTTCCAACGAAAAGGAGAGAGCTCTTGAATTTGATGATCTTATCTGCAGTCCACCATTGACTTACACTTTCAACCAATAAATGAATCAGCAGCTGCAATTTAACAATTAGCCAGCAGAGGGAGCTCAAGTATTACAATTCAGATGCAATCCCTTTATGTAATTCTTTGTTTAGTCTATCATGCTTGTTTGTTTTCTATTGCTCATTATTTTCTTATAATAAAACAAGTTAGCAAAAGAGTTAGTTCTGGGATGTCAGTTAGCTTTGATCTGCATTCCTTACAGCTCTGTCCGAATGTTTTCTGTTTCGGCACTTTCTTGGCCTTCCAGCTGCCCGGAGGGAGAGAGGAGAGTTGCTTATCAAAAAAATAAAATAAAAATAAAATCCTTCAAGAAACCAACCTCCTCTTTATCTCCACTTTCCTAGCTGTTTTTAAGCTTATTGTAACAAGTGGCCAGGGTATTTATAACATAAACGCTGTCTCTCAATCCATAAACAGTCAAAATACAGTTTACTCTGGGCTAGGCCCAGCAGCTCCAAATCACGAAAACAACTCTTAGTCCATGTCTGTGTTTCAAATCTTCCCAGGAGATAAACAAGGGAATTGACTTATGTTTTATGCATTTATCCAGTGTTTTGTAATCTTAATTTGATCTTAATCTTTAATTTTAATCATGTTTTTGTCAATGATCAGGAGGAGTGAATATTTTAGCATCTGGAGTCCATTCCAAGCTAGCTCGCCCCTGCCCCCCCTTGAAGTGTTGAACAGAAAAAAGCAGAAGTAGCCTTACCATGATTTTCAGGTTCTCCAGAGGCACCCAGTGGGCCAGTGTTGTGCAGTGGTTAGAGTGCTGGACTACCGTGCCCGGGCAGACCCTGGTTCAAAGCTCTACTAATCTATGAACCACAATGGGTGATGCTGGACCAGAGACTGTCTCTTAGCTTGATTTACCATGCAGGGTTATCATAAGGAAGAGATATACATGCTCATTGGAAGAAAAATGGGATATAATGATGAATGGCTAGACAGTTCTAGCTGAGACAGAATACTGGAGTAGATGGAGATTTGGTACTGACCTACACATCTTGTCCCGTCTTCATTAAGATGGTAGCCTCGTCCACAGTTTAGCACATTCCTGTGGCATGCATAAGAGCCTTCAGTGTTGATGCATGTCTGCCCAGTGGGACAAGGACTATTTGTACTCAAACATTCATTAACATCTGCAATAGGACAAACACTGAATTAAAAGGGAAATATATCTCAGTGTGCTTACACTTAAGGGAAGAAACACTATCCTTAAAATCATGTCTGAAAATGTGTCTTGGAAAAGGCAAAGCATATACAGCAGCAGCAATGTAACTGGGGCAGTCATTCTTTCTGTAGTGAAGGGGAGGCTCAGACACACCCAACTCCATGGAAACTGAGTTTCAGGCACAGCAAATCTTACCAATACAGTTGCCTAGTGCATCTTGTATGAAGCCGCTCTTGCAGTGTTGCTTGGGTCGGCAACGGAAGGATCCTGGAGTATTCTGACAGATAAAATCGGGGAGGCAGTTATGAGTACCAGTCTCACACTCGTCAATATCTGGTACATCACAAAAGAAAGAATTTGTTAGCAGAAGGTCTTGCAGAGCCATCTTGTCATGCTTCACACACAAGCAACATTTAAGCAGGTCAGAAAGAATCTTTTTGCATTCTGGAGCTATCAGTGCATTACAGACTTGGAGCAGCGCTAAATCTTATAGGAACAAATGCAGGGTAGTGCCCCAGCTCCACAATTACCAGGGGCCTGGGACACTTTTAGAGAGCAATCAGTTGGAAGGTTCCAACTGCAAATTCTCACATCAGTTATCCCTGGAAAATGCTTCCTGTCAGATTCACATCTGAATTCAGAGCCTACTTGGGGAAAATCCAAAGCTAACCTATTAAATTGGAGACTTTTATAAAATACATTCAATGACAAAACCAACTTCTATGGAAGTGGGGAAGGCCAACTGATGTTAATCTGTCTATCTATTTGGCTGAATCCAATGGTGTTTTTACATTAACTGAAGGCACTTGTGCTCATGCAAGGCAGAGCATCCAGTCTTTACTTGATTTCTCCCTACCTACTGCAGTCCCTGGCAGCATATAATATACTTTTCCTAAGGGATCCCCAACCCACAGGAGTAACCCTTGTGGGGGGATATTGGGGGACAGCAGTGATTTGGTGAAAAGTGTTATCTACATTGCATGAACAGAGCTATCGTTTACTAGCACAAAGACACTACTGGCTATACCAACAGCATTTTAGATTTGCTTAGTTCTTAAAATTTGCATTTCATTCATCCAGATCAAAACAAAGTAAATCACGGTTTAAAGAAGCAAAGATATAATGCAGCTAAAATTAAACATGTTGAAGACCATTTCTTTCATAAGAAGGATGCTTAATGTATGTCATTTCTTTTATTTAATTAATAGAACTGAAATATGCTCAGCTTCAGCAGGATGACATCAAAATGATTTTGCCAGGACACACACAGCCAAGTTCAAAGCCAAGATGAAACTTGAACACAAGCTTTTCAGGTCCAAGACTAATACTATGTATTATATCACATGGTATCTCTCAGTGCCAAATGCAATAATAAATAAAAATAAGTAATTGATTCAAATTAATAACCCCCAAAGACTACAAAGATATTAATTTATATACTACATGCCTTTACATATGTGATAGGACAATGGTAATCCAAGAACTGCAGGGCTGCACTTGAGCAAGCAAGTGTGTTGCCTTCTGCACAGTTCTCACTTCCACTTTGCATCCTGCTTCTCAAATATCCCAGGAACGCCCCATTCCTGAGTTGTTTGATATGATGTGGAAACCCAGAGTTGAATGGAAGTGCCAATTCATAATCATGGTACAGACCAAGGTCAGGAACCAGAAGAATGAGTGAGGCAGAACAAGGACATGGCCGGGAACAAGCCAAGGATTGAGAATAAAGACGAACAGAGGTGCAGGCACCTTGGACAGGATAACAGGGTAGGAGGCTCAGTACAGCAGGGTACATGAGACAACAGGAAGCAGATGCAGCAAGGGTCAGGCAAGAGGCAGGAGCTGAGCCACAGCTGGCAGAAAACCCTGCATTGCCGAGGCAATACAACAAGGCAGGAAGCAGGCAGAAGAGCAAGACAAGATGGAAAGGCAAGAAACATGGCAGGAATGGCCATGCAAGGTGCAGGCACTGTAACAAGCAGAAAGACTTGTGCTGCTGAGGCAGGTTCTGGAAGGAAGAGCTTGTTCCTATATAGCTGAGAAGGAAAAGGGCTAGAAGAGAGAGATGATGCGGATTTTCCCTTTTCCACTAGAAGTTATGCCATATCCTTATTCCACCATGCACATTGTCAAATGTCTCACTTTGCCTTTTAAGCGACAAGCACATTTGCCATGTACACATTGGGTTTTGCAACATTAAGCATTCTAAAGTGTTATGAATATAAATTGTGTCAGATAGGTATGTCCAATGCACATTGCCTGGAAGGAATGTAAACAGGTCTCCATTTCTCACTTTAAAGCATTTTACATCTGCAAACACTGGCATATATCTGGCAGGCATGGTGATCAAGTACTAACATTTAAATTTGCAAGGGCAAGATGATTTATCATCTGTTACTGTCGTCCATTTTGGTATCTATTTTTTCTAAGGGAATGTCTGAAGCATACCTTTGCAAAGGTTCTTCTCAGTTAGTTCATAACCAGTTCCGCAACTTGTTCCTCGCTGACAGCGGAATGAGCCTAGTGTGTTGATACAAATTTGTCCAATGCCACAAGAGTTGGGTGAAATGATACACTCATTAATATCTAGAAAGAATTCAGATGAAAAGGTTTGAAATAACATACTCATCTTACTGTTCCATTATCAGGAAGTCAAAATTTTAATGCTATCATAACATGCAGAATTAGGTCCTCAGTGTGTAAAAAACCCCAACAACTTATTTCTGATGCAATCTTTTAAAAATAGAGGGTACCTGATTGTGTTCAACCAACAAGACTGACTGTTAGTGCAACAGAGATTTAGCAGTTCTTAAAGTAACACTTATTTTCAGATCAGGACAGGTCAGCAAAGTTAGCTTATCTGAGTCCACACCTGCAGGCTATACCTGAAAATAAGCTATTAGCATTTAGCCTAGCAAAGCAAGATGTATCATCTCCCTCTGCATATTTGTCTTTCTCAAAAAGTGCTGCATGCTTACCTACCAGGACCTTCTCTACATGCAGCTTTTGACCCACCACTTTACCAAGACTTCTGGGTGCTTTGTAGGATTAAGATCTGCTCTTTTACATGCAGGGCTTTTCATCAGTGGGCTTTCTTTCTTTACTTTTCTATATGTTCCATTACACAACCACTAAATGCACTGTGGCACAGCAGAATTGTGGAAATTCATGAGCTGTTCATTCACTTCATTTTAAAATACTTGTCCTTCCTTGCTCTAAAAGATAGTTGGGGGAAATGCTTGGAAAGCATGGGAGAGGCCCTGCAGGGTGGTGAAGGCATCTGCAAACTACCACGACAGAAGAATCATGAGTGCACATAAAATGCCTTGTGTAGAGAAGCCCTAGCAGTACTTGAACAGTGCGAGAATACAGTCAGAGCTAATCTGTTAAATATCACATACACACAGACAAAAGAAAGCAAACAATCATCTTTCTTTACCTTCACAAGTGAAACCATCAGACTTAAGCTGGTAGCCCATAAAGCAAGAACAGAGGAAACTGGAACCCGTGTTCCTACATTGCTGGGTGCATGGACCGCCCCCTATGAAACCAAGGAGAGTTGTAACTGAGTTGTAACTGACCATAGCAAAAGGCACTTATTCTCCTTAAAGGTTTCCCATGAAAAAGTCAAAGATCAGCATCAAACATTTAAACTTTGCTACTACAGTATCTTCCATTACTTTCTACCTGAAAATGAATGATTTACAGGTTCATAATTGGTTCAAAATCAGAGCAGAATACTTTGTGTTGCAAAAGCTAAACATAATCTGCATTTTCATTGTTGTTTTTGTCATTGGCATAAAGTAAACAAAGGAGCTGGAACATTGCTCATGAAGTAAGGAGACCATGAGGCATAGCCAACATGGCTGTTCTACAGGCACGGATGACAGGAATCAGTCCATCCATTCTACGTGTCTAGACAGCAATGGCAGAGCTAAACTACTGCAGTAAGCTTAACTATAGATGGGCATGTTTGCACATGACACTAAGCCACCATCGTGTGCTTGTTGTTTGCTGAACAGTTCACGGTACATCCAACAAACAATCAGGTTTGCTATGAGTTGTTCTCCTTGCTTCCCCCCACCCTCTCCAACCAGCTCCATGATGTACACCAGTGCCCTGGGAGGCAGAGCCAGCCTTGTTTCTCCGTTTCAAGTCTGATTACCACTCCTTTTTGTCTGCTGCCATTTTTTTCAGAGTCTTAAAATTTCATTTGCTTTAAAAACACACACAAATCTGTCTTCTGAACATTGTTCAAATGTGCTTGTTAGGTTGTTTGATGATGAGGAGTGCTATGACAGCTATCTGATATGTATTCTCTTGTCTGGACACTTTTCTTGTCTGTTTCAGCTGTCAAAAGGAGTACCAAAGTGGAGGAGGTAGCAGGTCGACCAGGTGAAACTCCATGTAGTTTGAGCCAGGCACAGTTGCCAAGGAACCAATGGCCAAGTTGACAGTTGGAAAGCACTGGAAGGCAGAGGAGTGGCAAAAGAAGGGGCACAAAAGGGTGTGGGAGGGGGGCAACAGCTTCTCCTTGGCAATATAACCCTTGTGTTTTTGAGTGTTTTCAGTGCCTTCCACCATTTCAACACTTTTCTGACCCTTCAGCTATTTGAGAAAAGGGAGATAGTAACTCCCCCACTGCCATGCTTTTTGTAGTCCTTTTTGGAGCACTTACTACTGCCATTCCCAGACAGTTGCCCCCACCAAAATAAAAAAATACAGAAACATCCACAAATGAAATGGCTGGGAAAGAAATAGTGCGGAATTGTGCATGCTGGCAATAACTGGTCTGCTAGTGCAGGTGTGCACCCTACCTCCTGCCTGGTTACTTTCATCATTTACTTCCATTTCTTCCAGAAGTATGCTCAAATATGCCCCCAAATTTTTAAAACCCTCCAAGGATGGAAAAACAGGACAGAACAAATAGAGTACCAGTAGTATCTACACACCCCATCCCACCTACCTCCAACAGGGCTTCCTTCATTCTGCCCCATGCAGCAGTCTTCCAAAGGTTTAAAAAAAATGTCAGAAAACCCCAGCAGTACCTGCTTCAGTAAGGAACTTCGTGAAGGAGCTTCAAAAAGTGAGGATGCTAGTAATTCCCCTTTCTGGATTAGTTGGAGATTTGGGAAGTGTTGAAAAAGTGGAGGCACTGAGAAGTGTCAGCTCAACACTTTGAAGTTTTTTAAAAAAATTAATTTTTTTAATCTAAAACACAACCCAAAAAAGAGAAAAATGCAACAAAAATAAAAACATATACTTCAAAGTGAGAGAATAACTTTGCCAAGGGGGAGATAGTCTCCCTCTCCCAGTTTTGATGCACTTAGTTCCTCAACCTTTTCCTCCCATAACTGTAGCATATTCCCCTTTGACAGCTAAAATTGAGAAGGAAATTGACCAGGCAAGGGTACACATATTGGGCAGGTATTTGTAAAAGACTGAATACATTTTTAAAAACATTACAACCCCAATTGCACATGCTAAGGCACTAAACATAAAAATTAAAAAGGGTGATGGTTGTTCCAAAGTGCCCTTTTGGCACTGGTTGGAAGGGCCGTCATTGGTGAGACCATGAAAAGTGAGTGGCAGGGCATCTGCCCCTCTGGCCCAGCAACCCATGGTAAAATCATCCTACTGAGTTCAGAAAACACAACAAGGTGCCATGACTATGAACAGTCCTAAAAGAAGCCATAGGTTCTCAGTGTGGTTTGTCCGTAAAAAATAAGCCACCCTGCAGACTTCATGCTGGGTTCACAGAATAAAACAGCCAACCATGGCTGACCTACTCATGCTGCGTTGTCATGTCATGCAAACTGGAGCAATTAGATGTTTCCCATAACACAACTCACTGGGCCAACAAAGGAAAGCCTGACTAAAAGCTAAAGGATGGCAAGCTTAGGTCCAACAATGCAGAATCAGGCATATCAGCCATAAACTCACAAACTGGCTTTAGGCAAAGTGCTATTCTCTCTCTGCCTGCTTCCCTCCTGCTTATGAATTAGCTCACCTCTGCAGCGATCATGAAGGTAAATATCTTCAGGGTCAATTTCCACTGGTGATACTGTATCTAAAGAACAAAACAGATATTGGAGGTAGAGAAGAGAGAAGTAAATTCTATTAAAATTAAATGGATTTTAATTCAATTATTTAGACTGGTTCTTCTTGATCTGCCTTTTTATTGATTTGTTTTAACCTTGAGATTTGTATATAGTGGTTTAAGACAATAGGAATTATCACATAAAGACTTCTGCCTGGCATTCTCTCCCAGTGAAGCTCTCTTGCAGATTCCATCACAGGATAGTCAGATTTAGGTTGAAACCCATGCCTCTGAGGGAAGTTGAGGTGATATTGGACCTCACATCTTCATATTGCTAGTAGATGTTACTATTTTTAATACATCTGCCCATGTGTGTGCACACACACTCACACTTCCCTGCATGTATGTGCACAAAGCTTTTATATGTAACTTTAGTAGCATGAGCGCAGCCATAGGGATGGCAGCTCACAACCTCCCCAATCACTAGTCATATTGGTCCTCCCCAAATGGGTCCTTCCCAATCATTTGCAGAACTGATTACTCCAGTGACTTTCTATACATTGTTCTAGACAACTCCTGTGTTCTGTGAAAGGATCAGTAACAAAGGACTAGCTTCAGCAAGAAACCATTTGCTACCCAGTCTCTTTCTAGTCCAATGCAGCAGCAGGGGGGCAGGTACAGGGAGGCATAACAAGCCCAGAAAAGCACATGGGGCAAACTGCTGCATGCCCCAAGAATCTATGCAATGTTCATGGGACATATAGCAGATTCCTCAGGGATTCCTCAGCAGACACACCAAAGTGGGAACAGTGTTCTTCGGAAATGGATCACATGAAAATCACAGCCTAGGGGTACCATTTCCTTAGACAAGAATATACCAAGGGTGGAAAGTAAGAGCTTCCCTTTTGTGTCGTGTCCCTGTGCCACTGCAGTAACACTTAGATAGAGGATTCATACTGGAGAGGTAAATGGTGTGTCTCATTCCCACAGCAGCACTGCTGTCCCTGAAAGCCAGAAACTGCAGTCTGACAATGATAGCCTTGACCAGAATTCAACTGTCTATATCCTATAAATGTTGAACTCTTTCAACAAGTGGCAACCATTTTTCTTCCACTCATTTCCAGAAATAATGTTATGCTGCTTTACCTTGGAAAGATGTTCCTTGGGGCAGCTTGTCCAGTTCTTTGTTTGGGCCATCAACAATTAAGACTTTTTCTTGCTCTTCAACACAGCAAGCTCTGAAGACCAATCCACACTGGTATCCCATCAGCAAACTCTGCTCACAGCTGTCACCTTGCCTCTGGGCCACCTTCCCCATGGAGCAGCAGTAGCAGCATTTCTGCCAAAGCACAACTGGCCCATTACCAAGGAGATTTACTGTAACACAGTTATCAGCCAAACAGTTTCTCTCTTGCAGCACAATGGCCCAGTTGTCATGAGGTTATTTATTAATTAAATACTACTTTCAGCATTTATACACTGCCTTTTGACCAAACCCCCTCAAAACAACTCACAGCATATTGAAAAAAATCATTTATTATAACATGATTGACATCTATAAAACTACCATCTAAAAGTATGGCAGCCATTAAGGCAATATCAACAGTATACATATAGCACAAGGAAGAAAAAATTTAAACAGTCAAACTTCAGTGGTTGTTGTTAGTCACGAAGTTGTGTCCGACCCATTGCAGCCCCATGGACAACATTCCTCCAGGCCTTCCTGTCCCCCACCATCCCCCAGAGTCCACTGAAGTTCATGCCGACTGCCCCAGTGACCCCATCTTAGCCACCTCATTCTCTGCCATTCCCTTCTTCTTTTGCCATCTATTGTTCCCAGCATTAGGCTCTTCTCCAGGGATTCCTTCCTTCTCATTAGGTGGCCAAAGTACTTGAGTTTCATCTTCAGTATCTGGCCTTCTAAAGAGCAGTCAGGGTTGATCTCCTCTAGGACTGACTGGTTTGATCGCCTTGTGGTCCAAGGGACTCGCAGGAGTCTCCGCCAGCACCACAATTCAAAGGCCTCAATCCTTTGGCGCTCAGCCTTCCTTACGGTCCAGCTTTCACAGCCATACATTGCAACTGGGAAAACCATAGCCTTGACTATACGCACTTTTGTTCACCAGCATCAAGAGGCTCTTTAGTTCCTCTTCACTTTCTGCCATGAGAGTGGTATC